GTGGTAGAGCGCTAGCCTTGAGCTGAAGAGCTGAGGGATAGCGCCCAGGCCCAGAGTTCAGGCCCCACGACCGGACCCAAAAAAAAAAAAAAAGTCTCACAGACTTTCTTGTCCAGGCTGGCTCTGAACCATGATCCTTAGATCTCAGCCTCCTGAGTAGCTAGGATTATAGGCGTGAGCCACCAAGCGCCTGGCTGGTTAAGCATTTTCTAAGCAGTACTGATTCTTTCTTAAAGAGCAAACAGTAATGCAGGTGTATCAACAGGGCACATTTTATGAACTCACAAAGAAATTAAAGTGACCTGGCTCTCTAATCAACAAAGAATGATTCATTGTGCTAATGCAAAAAAAAAAAAGCAAGGCCAAGAATAACATATTCAATATCTATCAAATTTTAAAAGAACATAAAATATTTTGACAAGTAATATAAAAGTTATTGAAGTATGAAATCTAATAAGAAGCAGCAATACCAACTTTGGGTTTGTCATTACGTGAGTTTACCCAGGCGCCCCGTCCCAGGCCTCTCAAGTCAGTACCTGGCCGGGGCTTCTTTGGCCCATACTCCATGATGCTGTCACTGTGCTGAGACAGGACTTCCTCCTCGCTTCCACTGCCCACCTCTTCCTTCCCAATGTCATCTTCTTCACTGTCAGGCTTGTCTTTAATTCGATCACCCAGGGCATTTCTTAACATCTGTTGGAAAATTCCTTTCAACATCTTTCATTGATTTTAGCAGAATGTAAACTGGTAGTAGACAGCAGACCTTTATTAAGTTTTCAGATGCATATACAAGTTTAGCTGTTTATATATATATATTTATATATGTAATATATAAATATATATAAGTAATTTTTTTTGAGGTGAGGTCTGTGTATCCAAGACAGGCCTCATACTCAAAATCTCCCTGGCTGGGCTCCCGAATGCTAAGATTACAGAAGTGCAATACCATGTTGAGTATCAGTGCAATAGATTATTCATTTCAATAGTCTTTGGACTCAGTCTCACAGGGATTTGATATGTTCATTCACCGTTACCACATTTTGTAAGAACAGTGACCTATCAGATTTTATGTTATATCTCTTTAGTGATAAAGGGAAATGATACAGATATATCTGAAGATTAATTATTTAACAGTCATCTATGTTCCATGATTTGATTTACATCATGCAGGTTTTACATGACACAGGTTCATGTCCTACCTGCTTGACTTCTGGAATACTTTTTTAACAAGGACCCAGCTCACTTTCTAGCATAACCGTTCATCTTCCATTAGTGCCCATTGAGCTCCTCGTGAACCACAAGCAATGGGTCTCAATAAAGATTAAAAACAAGACTTGCCTGGTCTAGTTCAGAGAGCCGTTGGGACACTTTCTGTGATACTGTGTGTAGTTCTTGTTCTGTTAACCTCTTTCTCGGCACATCCCGTGAGGACGCTGCAACTCTGTTTTCATTTCTGTAATAGAAGTGGCCAGGTGACTTTTAATAGCCGGGTTAGTTCAAAAGTCACCACTACTTAGTTCCAAATGACTAATAGCTGCTTTTACACATATTGGAGTTTTCAAATCCTCTTACAGACTGGAAAAGAAGAATGCTACAGCAATGTTACCTTTTCCCCTTGGCAAATTTCCTTGTCTTCGGGCTTTGGACCTGAGCAGCACACGTTTCCTGTTCACCAGGTTTAGGCAACTTTGAAGCTAAGAGAACGTCATCCTTGGGTTCCTATCAACAGGACAATACAGTTGATTTGAAAAAGCTGGAAGGAAGACTCACTGAGCCCTTTTCAGTATGGGGAAGGGAGGTCCTGGGGCACCAAGCCAGACTCTTTAATCTCCATGTTGAGGTGGGTTTTTTTTTTTGTGGGTGTGTGTGTCTTTTTAAAATACAAAGTCTTGTTATCTTGCCCAGGCTGCTGATCCTCCCACTTCAGCTTCCCAAGTGCTGGGATTATAAGCATGTGCTGCCATGTCTGGCTTTGTGTTTGTTTGACAAAATATCATACTGACACCCAATGTCAAAGGACTGGCGCAATGTCTTCCTGCTTGTGGTCAGAGGAAAGTGTGGCTCAGGGTGTCATTCTAATATAAAGGCAAACGAGAGGCTGTCACACAGGAAATGCAGGGCTACAGTTGATCAAAACTGGTCGGTAAGAAATGATCAGGTCTCAAGTGGGCATATGCATCATTTTATCTCTTGTATACAGGTCAACAGCAAGTTTACAAAACTGAGACACTTAAAAAAGATGAAATCTCCCCAAATATACACATTTTCAAAAACTTAACTGGAGAAGGACTGGGTTTTCTTTTGTTCTGGTGCTGGGATGGCACCCAGGGATATGAGCACACTAAGCAGACTATTGCTGACCCTAACCCTAACCTTTGTGATGAATCCTTGTAAAAATATTGCTTCTGGTAATGGAACATATATTTAATGTTTAATGGTATCTTCACTATCACTTTAGTGTCTTTTGCTTCAATACTTTTAGTAAATAGCAGATATAAAATGAAGTCTACCAGTCCAGCTCAAGGAACTGAAAAGTGAGTTCACCTACTCACCGCAATCTGGTGAGGAACAGACCCTTCCCAGCAACTCAGGCGCCCGCCAGCAGCCCACACGGACTCCTCCCAGGTAACCAGTGCCCTCTTCTTATTTGTTGTCCTACCTGACTGATAAGTTGAGTGCTGCTCACATAATGCCAATGATAACCTCTCAGCTCTGTTTTTTTGTTTGTTTGTTTTTGTTGGTCTTAGGGCCTGAACTCTGGGCCTGGGTGCTGCCTCTCAGCTCTTCAGCTCAAGGCTAGCGCTCTACCACTTGAGCCACAGCACTACTTCTGGCTTTTTCTGCTTATGTGATACTGAAGAATCGAACCCAGGGCCTCATGCATGCAAGGTAAGCACTCTACCACTGAGCTACTTTCCCAGCCCTCATCTCTGTATTTTTTCTGCAGTTTCCTTTTTTGTTTTTCTCCCCCAATACTAGGATTTCAACTCCTTTATTTTCCTTTCAGATAGGGTCTCACACTTTAGCCCAGGGCTGGCTTCAGAGCATGATCCTATCTATACCACCCATAAAGCTGGACCACAGTTGTGTACTACCATTCCTAGCTTGTTGGCAGAGATAGAGTCTTGCCAGTATTTTTGGTTCTGGCTGGCTTTGATTCTTGACTCTCCTATGTGAGCAACACCACACATAGTCTTTTATTTGCATGTAACATTGTTTATGAGTTTACCCTGGCACTTATCTACCTGCCTGTTCTTTCTAGACAGCTGTGGACAGAATGACTATGTAAAAGAGGGTTTTCCCCCCAAGAAGTAAAAAGAAAACAAGGTATTAATCAGAGCTTCACACTAGATGGGGAGAATGTGGATGGACAGATGGTTATTTTCTATTTCACACACATTGATATTTTTACAAGTTGTTACTTAACTAGAGACACATGACATGGATTATGAAGCCAGGTGCCTGCATTTAAATGGTGTTTCTACAGTTGTGTGCAACCTCAGAAAAGACATCAGGCAACCTTGCTACATCAGCTTCCCCATGGAAAATATCGAAATGATTCCAGAACTGTTTTGAGGAATCCATCACTCGATACCTGTCTAAAGTATGTAATAGAACTGTGCCAGGCAAAAAATCCACACTCCAGCTGTCCTGGCTTCCTGTACTCACTCACCCTGCCCCTGTCTTTCCAAGATAAGCACATGTAGGTGGACAGAGGTAAATTTGAAGGTGCACAATGCTTTGATTAGTGATTAGTATTACTGACTACTATTCCAGTCGAGGCTTCCAAGGCTCAGAGGTCACATAGCATGGACAAGACCCTTGGTTCGTCACCAACACCAAAAAAGAATAAATAAATGCAACACATACACTATCCAATTACAAGCAAGGTTTTTCCACTCACCATAAGAAATGTGCGCTCTCCAGTACAATTTGTGACAGGGGAAGAGTAGTAGCTTAGGCTAAGGTAATCTCTTCCTATGGGGCAGGGTGCTCGCGGCTCTGGAGGGTGGTAGGGTGGATGTAAAGGAATGGCTGCTCGGATAGGCTCCCCCAGCTTCCTAGCACTGGGAATCGTACTCACAGGAGAGGCATCTGTAAGACAAAGTAGACCGAAGTAGATGTGATGAGGAAATTCTAGGAATTAAGTCGTTTCACATCCATATCCATGTACACAAACGTTCTGTGGGTATGTGTGTGGTGCTGGGGATCAAACCCTAGGCCTTGTGTCCTAGGAAAGCACTCCATCACTCAGCAATATCTCCCGATCAACTTGATGCAAACAAAGTACAAACAAAAACAGCCTTAGCAAGCAAGGAGGGACTTTTGAACTCCCAGTGAGTGTAATTTTAATGTTCTCATCCTAAGAATGTTCCCTGAGAGCCAGGTGCTGGTGGCTCACACCTGTAATCCTAGCTACTAAGGATGCTGAGATCTGAGGATCATGGTTCAAAGCCAGCCAGGGCAGGAAACTCTGTGAGACTCTTATCTCCAATAAACCAATAAAAAACCGGAAGTGGTGCTGTGGCTCAAGTGGTAGAGCACTTGCCTTGAGCTGAAGAGCTGAGGGACAGCACCC